GTTCTCATGCAGGCTGTGTCAGTCACAGCCACGAGAGGTGTGTCTAGGGCTGCATAAACAGAAACAAAAGTGATTTAACTCCTAAATGGCAGAGACTTGAGCAGTGAAACTAAAGAGGCATGATCTATACACACAAACTGCTTCATTAAGCTAAAGTTGTTTTGGTGACTATAGTGTCTCTTTAATGTTTATTTTTACAGATTCAGTTTCAGTTCATCTCTGTCTCAATGAATTAAAAAAGGGCATCTATTTAAAAATTAATAATCTGAGAGATTGTTAGTGTGCAATTTACTCTACCTCTGTATTTATATTGTTTAAGGGACACTAAGATACCTAGACCACTTCAGCTCATTGAAGTGGTTTGTGTGCACAGTCCCAGGCCCCTTAACCCTGCATTGGTAATTATTGCAGTTTTTGATAAACTGCAATAATTACTTCTTAGAATTTACTCCACCTCTAGTGGCTATCTACTAGTGACGTTGGCGGAGGTGAGGAGGCGGAGCCTGAACCAGCACAGACGGACATTAGTGCTTGAATCAGGAAAGTGACAGAAAGTGACCTTCTGCATCACAGTGGGTGGGCGGACGCAAAATTCAGAAATTTCGATTGGAATTCATTATAAATTCTCAGTTTAGTAAAAAAAACCTTTAGCATGCCCCTATATGTACATAAACAGAAGGTTGTGACTGTTTAATTTGTTATATTGTTCTACCATCTCTTCTTATTTTGCCTGTATTGAGGTAGGGCAGTAGTGATAAGACTTTTCCTTGGTGTGAATAGTGCAAGTTCTATCCTCGTACCTCCCGTGTAAGGTCAAATCACAATACAGAGTTCTGAAAACAGCACAGGATTTACTGGCATTCCATATCTTTTTCATTCCTTCTTTCCCCAATAGATTAATAACACAAAGCAAGTTTACAAGGATCTCATATCTTTACACAAATAATTGCAATCACATTATATACGGATGTGTCTTTTTAATATTCCACTGACGGAAATCCCATGGCTCCTTTTAAAGTGCTGTTTATAATACAAATCAAGTTACTGTATACAGGAACTCAAACATTAATGAGTTAACGTTTATTGGCTTATGTAGGCAGCGAGAGAACGGCTGATAAATAACACCAGTAATTTTCTCTTCTTATGTCAGACTTTAGCCTGTGTTAAATACGGGGAAGCCCTCCTGCTCCATACTGGCGTGGGATCGCAGTACAGTATTCAGCATTGCAGATATTTTTAAAAGGATTTTTTTCTCTAACGGGCGAGTCTGTGAGGGTTGTGGTATGTTGACAATCGTTTTGCATATATTTAAATGTTTAAAAAAAACATAAGCATCAGTTCATTTGTCAGGTTTGCCTTGGCAGATAAGCTAGCACTTTATGGCCAAACAATGGTACTGACAATCTACTCAAAGGCTGCTTCATGCACCAATATAAGTTTGTATTATTAAATACTAATGTATTTTATTAATTTACTGTGCTTTTTAAGAGCTCAAATCATACTAATGTTTTGCAGAATGCGGCTCCATAAGCCTGCCTCCTTAGCCACGCCCCCTGATTCAAGAAAAAGACTTCCTTATCAAATGTATGTACACAGCTCAGCCACTGACTGCACTGAGTGAGTTGAACTACAATCTGCTTTATTAGGAGAAGAAGAGATACAAGTAAGCCTATCACCACCTGTATTTTGTAGTGTCTACAGCCAGTTGTGAATAAAAAGCAGCTTATTTAGTGTTATTGTTAGGGCAGAGCTGTGTACATACATAATAAGGAAATATTTATGGCATGAGGGGGTGTGCCTAATGAGATACTTGTGGTGCAAATTTTTGTTTTGTTCCAAAACTATAAAGATTTGAGCATGCAAAATACTACAGCATACTGATGAGGCCAAATTGATTAAGTTGTATGAAGTGACCCCCTCTAAAGGGACACTATAGTCACCAAAACAACTTCAGCTTAATGAAGCAGTTTTGGTGTATAAATCCGAAGTGTCACCTCTCAATTCCATGCAATTTATGAGTTAACTCACTGTTGTTTCTTATTCAGCCCTAAACACCTCCCCTGCCTGTGACTGACACAACCTGCATTAAAAAAAGGTTTCATTTTTCAATCAGATATTAACGTACTTTAGAAGTGTTTGTCTCTTGCTCTAAAAATTTAACCTAAACCATACTTAGGAAGATCATGCCAGATCTAGCAAACTATTAACAGTGCGGAAGATAAAAACAAATTCTAAATTACACAAACAGTGAAATAAATAAAGTGTAAATATTAGATTTCACTTTACAAGAAGAGTTTAGGAAGGCTGTGCACGTTACATCCGGGGAGGTGTAACTAGAATTGCATAAACAAAGATCTTCCTCGCTGGCCCAAGGGCCCTATGATCTGAGAGAGAGGGCAAGAAGACCCGGAGGCAGCAGGAGGGACCTGTGTAGGAGATCGCTCCTCCCACAAGCAAGCTGTGTGGACCGTTGCCATGTGTTACCATGGCAACACTCCACACACCATTCTGCGCGCGGGAGGACAGGAGAGCCTGCAGCTAGAGGAGCTGCAGGCTGCAAAGAACTTACCACTGGACCACCAGGGCTGGCTGTGTTCCCCCCACCTTCATCAAAGGCAAGAAGAAGGTTTTAGGGAATGAAGATATTTATTAATGTTTAGTATAATTAAAAACAAAAAAACAAATTTGCTACCTGCACCCCTCAAACTCTGCAACACATACACACACCACACACAGCACCCCCCCACACACAGCACCTCTCAAACACACAGCACCCCCCCACACACACAGCACTCCTGACACACAGAACACTCAACACACCCACAGCACACACATATAAACGCACAGCACCCCCACAGCACCTCTCAAACACACAGCACCCCCCCAAACACACACAAACACAGCACTCCTCACAAACACAGCACCTCTCAGACAGATGCACACACCACCTCTCAGACACACACAGCACCCCTCACACACACAGCACCCATCACAAACACACACACAGCACTCGTACACACACACACACACACACATACACTGCACACCTCAATTCAGTATTTGTGTGTATTTAGAAGACTGTGTGTTTGTGTCTGTGTATTCAGCATACTGTGTGTGTGTATTCAGCAGTCTGTCTGTGTGCACTAAGCAGTGTGTGTGTGTGTACTCAGCAGTGTGTGTGTGTATTTAGCAGTCTGTGTGTGCTTGTATTCAGCAGTCGGTGTGAATGTGTTCAGCAGTCTGTGACTGTATTCAGCAGTCTGTGTGTATTTAGCGGACTGTGTGTTTGTGTGTGTGTGTGTATGTACACAGCAGTCTGTCTGTGTGTACTCAGCAGTTTGCCTGTGTGTACTCAGCAGTGTGTGTGCGTGTATTCAGCAGTCTGTCTGTCTGTACGCATCAGTGTGTGTGCGTGTATTCAGCAGTCTGTGTGTGTGTGTGTATTCAGCAGTCTGTGTGTGCGTGTGTTCAGCAGTCTGTGTGTGCGTGTGTTCAGCAGTCTGTCTGTATGTGTTGTATGAGTGTATTGAATTTGTTGGAGGTACTAATAAATATAAACCTAATTTTATTTATAAATTTAAATTTTGTGATTTGTGTGTAGGCAGGGCCCCAGTGCACTGCTTTGTCCGGGGGCCCATAATGTGGTTAAGATGGCACTGGTGCCTATAGTGTTCCTTTAAACATATACTTAGCTTTGAGATGGTGCACAAGTAATTTATTTTGTTTGCCATGTTATACATTGCAGATGAATACTTTAGTCAATACAGCTACTCCATACAGCCCAACATTTGAAATGGACAAAGAGGGACATTTTAAAGGGACACTACAGACACCAAGATCACTTGAGCTCATTTTTAATAAACTACCAGACAGCCACTAGAGGGACTTCCATGTCATTTTGGTTGCTTATCTAATGCTGGACATCCTCACACTGTGCATGACGACATCCAGTGAAACCCCATAGGAAAGCATTGTATAACGCTTTCCTATGGGGGAAGTACTAATGCGAGTACAGACATGCACATTAGGTCGCCCCTCCGGCAGATGACAGTGGGGGAGGAGCAAAGGACATCGGCGCTGGAATCAGGTAAGTGACAGAAGGGATGCTGTGTGTGAGTGTCTGTGTCTGTATGAGAGATGCTGTGTCTGTGAGGAGTGCTGTGTGTGAGTAGTGCTGTGTTTGTGTGTGTGTGAGGGGGGTGCTGTGTGTTTGAGAGGTGCTGTGGGGGGTGCTGTGTGAGTGTGTATGCTGTGTGTGAGGGGAGTTTCTGTGTGTCAGGAGCTGTGTGTGGGGGGGTGCTGTATATGTGTGTGTGTGTGTGTGTGTTGCAGAGTTCGAGGAGTGCAGGTAGCAAATGTGTTGTTTTTATTTTTAAATTATACTATACATTAATAAAAATATTCCTCCCCCGCCCCAACCTTCTTCTTACTTTTGGTGAAGGTGGGGGGAACACAGCCAGCCCTGGGGAGATTGTCTGACTGGGTTCACTGTCTGTGCAGTGTATTTTGGCAATTACTAAACGTGGAACTATGGGACCAGCAGCATAAACCTGACTCCATAAGGTGTAGTAAGTAACCACTTTGTATTTTTAGAATTACCCTCAATGATCAGGGTTGCGGTACAAGGGTAAAAGGGAGCACAAGGGTATTTGTTCCACTTTATTTAATCATTCAGTGAAGTCCCAGCTTATCGGGTTCCATGTTTTAAGTTCACATCTATTTTTTTTAACTGTTTTGCATCTACATATATATATATTTATTTATTTTAGTCATGTGTCCAATACTTTAGTTGTATTTGATTTGGTATGGTTGTGCATCTCTTTTTCTTTAAATCTGTTGAAATATTATCAATCTGAGCCTTTGTCCTCTAGCATGTAAACTCACAAACCTTCAGAAAAACTTTTCTCACTGTGACCACTTGACTATTTGGTGTAAATCACACACTTCACGTTGACATTGTCATTCTTAAAAAAGCTCAAATTTTAATAAATGTTTATTACCATTATTCGAGGCTTTACTCTTCAAATCTTCCGACAATGTTGGAATTTTGTCCAGTGATACAAAATCCTTGTATTCCTTACGCCTCTCTTCCAGAGTCAACTTTGACAAGCGCTCTGTACAAAAAAGATAAATAAATTATCATTAGTTATAACGCACCGACATAAGACACAGATCTGTAAAATAGGGCAAAAGCAGGGGGCCTCATACAGAAACTAAAATTTAGCATCTACAGCTGCTTTATACAAAGGGTTCAGCAAGATGGTTCAAGAGCTTACAATCTAAAACGTTATGGGTAATTGAGACGAGAGGCTGCTTTATAACATAGACAGACATACTTCATTAAAAAAAAAAAAAACATTTTCTGCAATAAAGAACTGTAATGTAAAATATTAACAATGTATCTAACAATATGAGGAAAATGAATTGATCAAAATATAAACGTTGTTGGTTCGTGGGTTATTTCTCTAAAGTTTAAACGTGATTTTCATGTTCTAGGAAAAATAGCCAGACTCATTTGGAATTCTCTTTGACTGTCCAAAAATGTATACTTTAGGGAATAACTTTTTTGAAGAAATAGATCACGCTTCAAAAATATAACTTATTTAGCAAAACCTGCCCACCATTTCTTTGTACATCAACTGAAGCCCCTAATGCACAGGCTTCCATGTGTTTAGGGAATTGTATTGTCCCATTTAGGAGTCTTGGGATATGCTATTTAAAGTTTTCAAACTTTTAAACTGTTAATATCTAATATATATCTTCCAACAATGTCCTCGGTTCAATATTTCTGGATACGCTTTTCAAATGATTTACTATTTTTTAATAAACTTTTAAAATATATATTTTTTTAAATATTAAAATATAAAAAAATATATCATTTTAAAAATATATCAATTTGTCAAAACAAATATTAAAATATTAAAATAATTTTTTTTGAATAATAAATAATTTGAAGAGTGTATCCAAAAATATTAAACAACTTGAAAGGGTGAATAATATAGCGGGTATAAATTTAAAGGCGCCAAAAAATTAATTCACCTTGCGGCAGACAATTAAAGGCTGCAGCCCCACCCACCCTCCCCTTTTTTCTTTTAGGGATCCTATTGTGACTTTATTATGGGATATAAGTCAACCTCCTGGGCATCACAGGAGGGTGGACGTGGTTTATTTGGTAGTAAATATATATTTCTGGCTCCTGGCTTTAAGGGGCGGAGCCTGGAAATGGTTAATGGTTATTGGTTATTTGGTTTAAATTTACGGTTTATTATTATTATTATTATTATGGATATTTAATTTGGAATTGTGAAATCCGTAATAAAAGTCACGGCCATTCGCCAAAGTTGTTTTGTGTTTTATTTATACTATATATCATTTTCATTTATACTATGTATCAACATTCAAACCCCATGCACCTGTCATGGTTGGTTATATTTATTACCTGCTATGTGTTAAATTTATATATGTGTGTATGTATATTGTATTATTTTTTGTAATATTATATTGTCCCCTACAGTAACAATGCAGTGTTTGTAGATCCAGGACATACTTGAAAATGAATATCAATGTATCCTTCCTGGTAAAATATTTTATAAATAAATAAATTGCATTATGGCCTTACATTTGAAATTCACTTAGAACACCTGACAATTCACATTTAAGTAAATAGCACTACTGTCATGACTGTGCCAGAAGAGTATTTAGCACCTATGCTTTCCTCTTATAATACCGAAATTACAAAAATACGAAGTTTAACCCCTTAAGGACCAAACTGCTGTAATAAAAGGGAATCATGACATTTCACACATGTCATGTGTCCTTAAGGGGTTAAAGGAACATTAGAGTGTCAGAAATTAAAACACGTATTCCTAACACTCTAGTGTTAGACTAACTGTTTAGGTGACTGGCTTTACTCACCTTTTCTCCATTGCCACTCCAGTCTCAACGCTGCTGGCCCCGCCTCAATGGCTGAGATCATCAATCTTAATGATCTCATCCAATCCAATGCTTTCCCATAGGAAGGCATTGTGAGGATATTGCACATGCGCGGCAAAACGCAGCACTGCACTCAGCATCTCCTTAATAGAGATACATTGAGTCAATGCATCTCTTTAGAGGTGTACCTAGGCAGCAATGTAAACACTGCCTTTTCTCTGCAGGGACAGGCTATAGACACCGAAGTATATCAGTGGACCAAGATTTAGGCTTTTATCAGTTATATTCTAAAGACAGTGTTTTATTTTATTACTATTTTATTTGCAACTTGTTTTCTAGTCTATATTTTGTTTCCTTTACAGCTATGATATGTCTCAGTTTACTGCATAATTGTTTAATACATGTAAAAATATTATTTATATTTCTACAATATTGTTGTTGAGTAAGCTCAGAAGAGAAATTGTTTAAAGCAAAGGGGTTAAAAAAAAAAAGAAACACGGAAAGGAGATTGAATTCTAAAAATGTAAACTATAATTGCTGCTGATTCCCTTTTTTAACTTACAAATTTGTACTGTTTAATGTTTGTAACACAAAATGCTTAAGCAAAACAAGTGCACCTCTCTATCAGAAGACGATGATTGGCAGTTCACTGAGCACATGCTCACAAGGTTCAACAATGCTTCTCAAAGAGAAGCATTTGATTGGACCTCGGAGAGGGGATCTGTGACGCAGTGTACTGAGGGAGAAGGCAGGGAAGAAACTGGATGGATTCAAAATAAGTTTTAGATTTATTTTACAGGATTTCTCAAAACAAAAAGTAAAGAGGCCTAGTAACAAGTATGTTATTTGAAGAGGCAGGTGATAGCGGATTCACTTTCTAACTTTTCACTAGCAACTTTCACTAGAATTGTCATGCAATTAAAAATTGAAATAATTTCTATGGAAAGATCTATTTGAACTTATACCTGTACGCAGTACGCTAAGGCAGCACGTTTAGATGAATAAAATCAGTTAACCTATAGATGAGCGGTAACCAATTTAGCTTTCAAAGTTGGTGAGGAATTACAAACACCATGATGCCCAGGCAGACACACTCATTTCCTTGTAAAATGATTAGAGAAAATGTAAGTACTACCAGAGCTGGACAGCTACCCCAGATCCCCAAGTTATTCAGTTAATCCATTTATCTCAGCTTGCATTAATGATAGGTCACCGTGTTCTATATCTTGTAGGTCATCAAAATACAGTCAGATCAGGTACAACATGAAATTCTAGCTTTTTCCTATAGTTTTCAAAGTACTCAAATACTACACAGTCCCAGACGTAACAATCTGCCACTATTTAACTGTGCTGCTCTGAGTTTGTTGGCCAAGTTTAAATAAGACGAATAATCAGTAATAATTGTATTTGGGCATATTTATGTATTTTTTGGCATGCAAATATTAACGTCACAATTTCTGACATCATATAACCTATATACACACACATGTATGCACGTGTTCCCTACACAAGATATACAATCTATGGTTTCTAAGCAATACAGGATAAGAGTATGCATGACGACAATTGCATTAACCAGTTGTGTGCCAGAGGGATCTACGCCAGTGTGACAAATCATGTGTACAGGCACCATATAAGCACAAACAAGGAATGTTTGCGATTAAAGAATAATCAGGATATTTGGTGTAGTGTAGGCCTATAGAGGGTGAAACAAAGTGTCAGCATAAGCAATGCACCCTGTAAATACAGTAAGGGAATAATAGCACGTGTTACAATAAAGTAATGGAGATAAATATAGAGCAAGCCCACATGAAATGAACAATGCTCATTGTTTACATGTCATTTGAATTTACATGTACAATCATACGTATGGTCAATGGGAAATGGAAAGTAAACTTGCAGGAAGCCTGGGGTGATGGCAGTATTGGGACAGGCTCCCCATACAGTCTGCGGCTGCAGTAAATAAATAAATACAGGGGAGGCAACAACACAGGGAAAGAAGGGATAAAGTTCAGCATGGCAGGCACAGCTAGGAAACGAAACAAATAAACTTTGAGCTGCAGGTGGAGTGTGTGATTTATATGGAGGCAGCTCACTGCACTGTGTGCAATAAATGTACAATAATAACACTGTATCTGAATGTTTCTGATAAAGTATCACAAATAACAGAATTATCTAGTAAAGTACTCCCAGTGCCTTATACACAACAAGCTCTGTCCTCAGCTACATTCTCTGAGATGAAAGCTTTGCTGGAGTACCTTCCTGTCTACTTATAAAGTGTCCAGTGTGTTATTCCTATGTATAGGGTCACATGCCATGAGTGCTGACAGCTCTGTGACACCCAAAGCATTATGGGAATGGTAGTCTACTCCCATCTTATGCTAGCCACATGTCCTGTACCCAACCAGCAGGGCCACCTGTCACCCAAATCATTCTGGGTATGGTAATCTTACACTAGCCACATCTTATCTTACACTAGCCACCTGTACAAAACCTGCAGGGCACCTGCTGCCCAAATCATTCTGGGTATGATACCCTGCTCCCTCTCAGCCTAGCAACATGTCCTAAACACAGCAGTCACTAAAGCATTCTGGATATGGTACCCTACTCCCATCTTATAATAGTCACATGTCCTGTACCCTGCTACTCAAAGAATTCTGGGAAAGGAACCCTAGTCCCATGTTATGCTAGCCACATGTACTATACCCAGCCTGCAAGGCCACCTGTCACCCAAAGGATCCTGGGAATGTCACCCTGATTCCATGTTATGCTAGCCACATGTATTATACCCAGCATGCAAGGCCACCTGTCACCCAAAGGATCCTGGGAATGTCACCCTGATTCCATGTTACTGTAGCCACATGTCCTGCAGCCAGCCTGTTGGCCCCCTGTCACCCAAAGGATCCTGGGAATGTCACCCTGATTCCATGTTATGCTAGCCACATGTCCTGTAGCCAGCCTGGTGGCCCCCTGCCGCCTAAAGCATCCTGGGAATGTCATCCTGATTCCATGTTATGCTAGCCACATGTCCTGTAGCCAGCCTGGTGGCCCCTGGTCACCCATAGCATCCTGGGAATGTCACCCTGATTCCATGTTATTGTAGCCACATGTCCTGCAGCCAGCCTGGTGGCCACCAATAACAATAAGAGCAGTGGGAGTTGGAGTCCATCCACAGTGTGATCAGGACCCTGGTCAGTGCCCCCAATGTCAGGATACATGCTGGGAAGAGACACCATGGGCAGTCTCCATCACTGAGCCAGGCTGGGAGCAGACACCATGGGCAGTCTCCATCACTGAGCCAGGCTGGGAGCAGACACCATGGGCAGTCTCCATCACTGAGTCAGGCTGGGAGCAGACACCATGGGCAGCAGACACCATGGGCAGTCTCCATCACTGAGCCAGGCTGGGAGCAGACACCATGGGCAGTCTCCATCACTGAGCCAGGCTGGGAGCAGACACCATGGGCAGTCTCCATCACTGAGCCAGGCTGGGGAGCAGACACCATGGGCAGTCTCCATCACTGAGCCAGGCTGGGAGCAGACACCATGGGCAGTCTCCATCACTGAGCCAGGCTGGGGAGCAGACACCATGGGCAGTCTCCATCACTGAGCCATGCTGGGAGCAGACACCATGGGCAGTCTCCATCACTGAGCCAAGCTGGGAGCAGACACCATGGGCAGTCTCCATCACTGAGCCAGGCTGGGGAGCAGACACCATGGGCAGTCTCCATCACTGAGCCATGCTGGGGGCAGACACCATGGGCAGTCTCCATCACTGAGCCATGCTGGGGGCAAACACCATGGGCAGTCTCCATCACTGAGCCAGGCTGTGGAGCAGACACCATGGGCAGTCTCCATCACTGAGCCATGCTGGGGGCAGACACCATGGGCAGTCTCCATCACTGAGCCAGGCTGGGGAGCACACCCTGGGCAGTCTCCATCACTGAGCCAGGCTGGGGGCAGACACCATGGGCAGTCTCCATCACTGAGCCAGGCTGGGGAGCAGACACCATGGGCAGTCTCCATCACTGAGCCAGGCTGGGAGCAGACACCATGGGCAGTCTCCATCACTGAGCCATGCTGGGGGCAGACACCATGGGCAGTCTCCATCACTGAGCCAGGCTGGGGAGCAGACACCCTGGGCAGTCTCCATCACTGAGCACAATGGCTGGTATCTACCTTTCTCCTCTCTCCATAGCTTTTTCTTCTTGTTGCTGGGGTACATGCTGCTGGGCTGGCTGACTTTGGGCTGCAAGTTCCCCAGGCTCACGGGAAATAGTGTGAGTGAACTCGGGAGAGAAAGGAGGGAGGGCTGGCAGGAGCTGGGCAGGAGCTGGGCAGGAGCTGGGCACAGGTCAGTGGGCACACACTGGGTATCAGGTCCCTGGCTGGCTCTCACGGGTACCCCCAGAGGATACAGGATGCTCCCAGCGCACACACAGCCGATAGATAGATAGAGCCAGGATTACCACCTCCGCCTGTCAGCCAGGTCACACCCCCACTACCCCCAGCACAACCCGCAGGGCCGACCCACAGCCGGGGAAAGGGCTCCGAGATTGGCTGCACTGGGAGCTCCGTCACCACGGCACGAGAGGGGGACAGGGAGCCGGCACTGAGCATGTGCACGGCTTGTTTGGGGGAGGAGAGAGGGAGGACACCGGGCTGGGGACAGGACGGGTGGAGGGAGGACACAGAGACAGAGAGGGGGACAGACAGAGAGAGACAGAGACAGAGACAGAGACAGAGAGGACAAGAGAGAGAGGGGACAGAGAGAGAAAGAGAGGGGGCAGGGAGAGAAAGAGAGGGGGACAGGGGGATGGCACCCAGCTGGGGCAGAGAATAGAACAGAGAAAGAGAGGGGGACAGGGAGAGAAAGAGGGGGAGACATTGAGATGGCACCAGGCTGGAGACACAGAGAGAGAGGGTACCAGGCTGGGGACACAGAGAGAGGGGGGAGGGGGCACCAAGTTGTGGACAGATAGAGAGCGTACCAAGTTGGGGACACTGAGAGAGGGGGGGGCACCAGGCTGGGGACAGAGAGAGAGGGCAACTGGCTCGGGACAGGATGGGTGGAGGCACGGAGGATGGCACCAGGCTGGACACAGAAAGAGGGGGTTGGCACCAGGCTGAACACAGAGAGAGGTGGTGGCACCAGACTGGACACAGAGAGAGGTAGTGACACCAGGTTGAACACAGAGAGAGGTGGTGGCACCAGGCTGGGCACAGAGAGAGGGGGATGGCACCAGGCTAGGGACACAGAGAGGGGGATGACACCAGGCTGGGCACAGAGAGAGGGGGATGGCACCATGCTGGGCACAGAGAGAGGGGGATGGCACCAGGCTGGGCACAGAGAGAGGGGGTGGCACCAGGCTGGGGACAGAGAGAGTGAGGTGGCACCAGGCTGGGGACAGAGAGGGGGAAATGCACCAGGCTGGGGACAGAGAGAGGGGGATGGCACCAGGCTAGGGACAGGATGGGTGCAGGCACGGGGGTGGCACCAGGCTGGGGACAGAGTGAGGGGGTGGCACCAGGCTGGGGACAGAAAGAATAAGGTGGCACCAGGCTGGGGACAGAGAGGGGGGATGGCACCAGGCTGGGGATAGAGAGAGGGGGGATGGCACCAGTCTGGGGACAGAGAGAGTAAGGTGGCACCATGCTGGGGACAGAGAGAGGGGATGGCACCAGGCTGGGGACAGAGAGAAGGGGTGGCAACAGGCTGGGGACAGAGAGAGTAAGGTGGCCACAGGCTGGGGATAGAGAGAGGGGGATGGCACCAGACTGGGGACAGAGAGGGGGGATGGCACCAGGCTGGGGACAGAACGGGTCGAGGCACGGGAGGTGGCACCAGGTTGGGGACAGAGAGAAGAAGCGAGGGATAGATAGAGGTGAAAGAGGGTTGAAGTTAAAGTGGTGACTATAGAGGTGACGGGGGAACAGGTTAAATGAAGGGTGGAGATTAAAGGTGTAGTTAGTGGTGAAAGGGGGACATGTTAAAGGTGTAGTTATAGGTGAAGGGGGAGAAGTTAAAGGGATTGTGGTAAATAAGTTAGCTGGGATAGTTAGCATTGCAGATGAAGGGGAGCTGGAATAAAAAGGCTAGAGGTGAGGGGACAGGTTAAAGGGTTACTAAAAGGTGAGGGGGACATGTTAAAGTAATAGAGGTGAAGACTGACAGGTCCAATGGATATTAGTGGTGAAGAGGGGACAAGTTTAATTGATATTAGAGGTGAAGGGGACAGGTTAAAAGGATATTAGGGGTGAAGGGGGACAGGTTGAATGGATATTAGAGGTGAAGGGGGACAGGTTGCATGGATATTAGAGGTGAAGGGGCACAGGTTAAAGGGAAAGAGGAATGGGCGTTGACATTGCTAGGAGACCGGCATAGAATGTTGTCAGTGTCAGTGATTGGGTACTGAGTGCAGTAAGGACGGGGCCTTGTCTTAGGGGTATAAAAAGGGCCTATTTTAGATCAGGGGCCATCTTAATTTAATCTTCACTTACCTGTTGTTGACCCACCCTCCCTTTAGGTTTCGAGCTCTAGTTTGGTCACGGCAGCACGGAATGGGTAGAAAAGTTGGGGTGTAGGTCGTTTTTCATATGTGGGATAGTTTTAGTTCGATAAGAACAGTTTGGTTTGGAATGGTATTGGTAGATTCAAGCTCGTTGGTAGCTTCAAACCTAGTGTGTAGAGGTATCTCGGTATACCCCTACATTGTGAAATATGGAAAATCATGCCCTCTGGGGCTATGCCTTATGTTTATATCATATTTATATTGTTTATAATATGATATCAGTTTATTGTTTAAGTGGGTCATTGTCTGGGGTAGAATTGTTAAAGGTGTTGGGGTTGATATGTCTTGTTTAAATTATGTTGATAATGACCTAAATGTTTTTGTGTTAATTTTTTATATTTATTAAAGCTGTGATAAACTTTCCCAAATAAGTGGTGTCTGGGTCTTTTGGTGTTTGGGTAATGGTTATTGAGAGGGGCGCAGATTAAATGATAGTTAGATAAGGGTGAATAAGTTAGGATTTTAAGGGAGAGTTAAAGGAGGGAGAGGTTAAAAGAACAGAGCTGAAAAAAAGAGACGCTAACAAGAGGTGAAGGAGGGTCGCTTAAAGAGATGATTAGATATTGAATATCAGTTAAAGGGATAATTACTAATTAAAGCAAGGGTGCGCAAAATGTAGAACCCCAGATGTTGTAGAACTACAATTCCTTTGATTCTTTGCATGCTTTTAGAATGGAAGATGTCGTTTTAAAATATTTTGGGATCTACATATTGTGCTCCCCTGGGGTAAAGTAATGCATCTTAACAGGGGAGAGGCTAACTGAAAGGACTATTTATTAATCATTTACTAATATTTACCCTACAAAAGTGACCACTACTTGTTGCTTATCATGGGGTAATTATCAGAAATGGATAGTTTATTGAAACATGGACCCCTATTCATTTTACAGCAGTGAAACTGAAAACGTCTTAATATTTTAAACAGGGATACTGGGGTATGCGGCTGTGGGGCAATGTTCTAAAAGTAGAGCAATCACCGGGGAAACCAATGGAATGTTCCTAAATATTGCTTATTTTGAACTTTGCCCTGGGGATAAACATTCCCCATAATAGCATGAATTGTAGAAAAAGTGAAAATTTGGGCTTTTATGCTAAACTAACATTCTGAATTCTGTTTTGCATGATAAATAAATGCATTTATTTTCTAATCCTGCAGTTAGCTATCTGCAAATAATGTAAGTATTTTAGTTGCTAAAATACTAATTGAGCAAAAATTTTATGAAATACCTTTATCATTTACTAATGTAAGTTGTCACAGTTTTCATCACGAAGAAAACATTAAAAAGCTGTAAATTGAAGGAGAATGGTTGTAACTTTGTTATTTGTTAAATGGGTAGAGGATGTTATAATTATTTTAAACAGTGCCTGCAAATTCCATGTGCCGTACAGGAGTGCGAGGATACAAGCATGCTCATTTACATTGTGACATTCTTTGATTGCATTATGTATCAATATATTCCAGATCCGGAATAATGTAGGGGCTTTTAGAGCTGATGTCCCAGGCCCACACATTGCGATAAGCCCAAACGGATATGTATATGTAAATCGTTGCATGTATGCCTCTACAAAGTGAAACTGCAAATCCGTCAAGTTTACAAACAGTAGCCATTTAACCCCTTAGTGACCAGACCGCTTTTCAATGTTCTTACTGTTTGGGACCAGCTGTAATTTTCCTCTTACTTATTTACAGTACCCACACATATTATATACTGTGTTTCTCGCCATTAAATGGTCTTTCTAAAGATACCATTATTTTTATCATATCATATAATTTAATATAAAAACAAATATAAAATATGATGAAAAAATTTAAAATAACACACTTTTTCTAATTTTGATCCCCAAAATCTGTTACGCATCTACAACCACCAAAAAACACCCTTGCTAAATAGTTTCTACATTTTGTCCTGAGTTTAGAAATATCCAATGTTAACATGTTCTTAGCTTTGGAAAGTTATAGGGCTATAAGTACAAGTAGCACTTTGCTATTTCCAAACCATTTTTTTTTCAAAATTAACGCAAGTTACATTGTATCACTGATCTGTCAGGAATCTCTGAATAACCCTACGGTATTAAACTTAGGGTATTTTGACTCTTTTCATACAACCATTTTACCACCAATCCATGCCAAATTTAAAAAATGTATAATAATTTGTGATTTTTTTTGACACACATAGCAATTTAAGACTACATGTACTGAGAACTTTAAGGGTTACTGCCAAAGAACACCCCAATATGTGTTCAGCAACAGCTCCCGATACCGTGATACCACCCATGTATAGGTGTGTCAGTTTCTCTGGGGGCTAATAGACCTTATCGGGAGGGTGCGCATTCCAGTTTTCCAAATGGGAATTTTCACAGCTGGTTATCATGCACCCATATCCTATTTCGGACATTTTTGAAGCCAGCCAATGTAATTTAATTTTTGCTACCTTTTTTTTGCTCTCCATAAGTTTAAAGGGTAATCCAGACGTGGACCCCTTGTTCACGGTGCCTAGAGAGATATCAGCTATGCCTCACTGATGATGCCTAACAAGGCTGAAACGATCGTCTGGGGTTGCTGTGTCTCTCGCGCAGAGGGAACTTGCTGGCATTTCGGATCTGGACTGCTCGTATGGGTGGGACCAGTCTGATATGTTTCAGAGATGTTCCCTCTGTAATGGCACAAGATAAGCTAAAGCCAACTTGAGAACTGAGCGGGGACCCACCGAAGGGCAGGCTATTTCAGGTGCTGCCCGTTCTCAGTATTCTCTTGCGACCTGTTTTTTGCTCTCCAATGTAATTTACCTCCAACAAACCATATATTTTTGAAAAGTGGACAACCCAGGGTATTCAATATGGGGTATCTCCAGTCTTTTTTAGAAGCCACTTAGTCACAAACACTGGCCAAAGTTAGCATTTATATTTGTTTGTGTGTTAAAAATGCAAAAAACTATTATGAAAGCTAAATTTGGCCAGTGTTTGTGACTAAGTGGCTACTAAAAAGACTAAACATACCCCATTTGCAAAACCTTGGCTTGTCTTCTTTTGCAAATGGTATGCCATCATGGGGGTAATTATCATTCCTGCACTACTATACGCTCTCAAAGGCAACCAATCTGGTAAATTTAAATGTGAAAAAACAGCCTCATATTTGACCCTGTAACTTTCAGAAACACTATAAAACCTGTACATGGGGGTTATTGTTATACTCGGGAGACTTCGCTGAACACAAATATTAGCATTTCAGAACAGTAAAACATATTAAACAATGATATTATCAGTGAAAGTGCGCTTTGTGTGTGAAAAATGCAAAAAACGTCACTTTGACTGACAATATCATCGCTGTGATGTGTTTTATTGTTTTGAAACACTAATATTTGTGTTCAGCGAAGTCTACCGAGTAAAACAATACCCCCTAGGTACAGGTTTTAGGGTGTCTTGGAAAGTTACACGGTTAAATATAGTGCTAGCAAATTAAATTCTCCGGACGTTTGGCCTGGGTTGGCAGGCGTCAAGGCTCTCACCGTGATCTCCAGACAGCCAGACATGGTCGCCCCAGAGGTGCCCAACAGAGGATTTGAACTGTGGTCCATCTGTGTCCTGGTCTTGCTGTCTTGCTTCTGAGCCACAGTTCAGTTAGTGTTGCAGTGTATGTTTATTCTCACCTTGTCTCCAGCACACCTTGTCTCCAACACTGGGGGCTCGATGTTACCTGTGGCTCCTCCTATCATCTCAGCCCACCTGAGGCAGATGCCTAATTAGACAGGTATAAAACACTGCCTCTCTCTGAGGGCAGTGTCAGTTCATTGACCTGGGTTCCTGTGTTGGTGTTCCAGTGTTCTCCAGTTGGCTCCTGACCATGGCTTTCTATTCGTGTATCCTGACTTCTGGCACCCTCTGACCTTTGGCTTACCCACAATGATTCTCCTGCTTATGTCCGTACCTGTACTGCGACTTGGAGCATTATCCTGCACAGACTCTCAACTTATTTATTATTAATTCAAAATTTGCCTTAACCCCTCGAGACAGGTTTCCGATGCTCTGCCTCACTGCCAGGCGCCACGTGGGGTAACCCGGAAGTGATCGCTCCACGGAGCGATCACCCGCCGGCCTAGCAGTGAGGGGGGGTATTGAAGGATGCTTCCTTAAGGACCGGTCGGGAAGGGGTTAAAATACTGTATTCAGTTCATTGAGTTTTTTGATTGGATAACTAAAATAATAGATCATAGGGATGCACCGAAATTTCGGCTGCCGAAAATGGGCCTATCCCATTTCAGCAGAAAAAGGGACAAATCTGCAGAAAATGGACAGCTTGCCTTTCACACACAGAGGATTCACAGCTTCCCTTGGCTGTGCCCCGCTCCAACATCCCTCCATGCTGACCGTGAAGAAGATGGAGAGCGGTGGCAGGCGGGTGGGAGCCCCTACCCTCCTCCTCCTCGTCATCATCTTCCTCCGGGAATCATGGCCTCGCCGGACATCGGGGCCGCTCTGGAGAGGATCCTACAGAAGAAAGAGAGGGCTTCCCTGGGGGCCGAGCACTGGCCCTCCTCAGGGTCGAGCATTATGGCCGGGCATCATGGCGAGGGCAGATGGGGGACAACCGGAGACCCCCCAAGGTCCAGAGAACCAGCAGGAGAAAGAGAGCCAAGGTAACTAGCAAGGGCACCCTGTGGGGATGGGGGGGAGAGGGGGGAGAAGTATACCCAGTGCTGTACATACCACCCTGTGTACTAAGGGTTATTATAGTATTGCTGTATACTCGGTGCTGTGCCTACGATCCAGTACAAATACTCACATGCTGTATATACAGAATGCTCTGTCCATGATCGTCTACAAAGAGTCCTGTGCTGTGTGCCTGCAGATTCCCAATTCACAGCATGTGAGCCTCCAATAAAAAAAAAGCTTTTCAATGCTTGTGATATAACCAGTGCTGTGCCAACATGGGGATTACCAAATATGAAATACAGTATTCCCAATGAATTTTGTGTTGACTGCTATACATAGGATTACATCAGTGTTCATGTCGTTTTGCCTGTAGTATATCCAGTGCTGTGCAGATCAACGAAGTACATGTAAAGGTTTGGGTGCTTACAGCATGCCCAGAGCCGTGTACAGCAGTGCTTCCTGTATATCCAGCATAGTACATCCCAATCTGTATACAGTACTGTTCATTTAGAGTTCTATGAACATAGAGTGATTGCATTACAAGATTATGTTTTGTGTTCCTATGCAATGCTAACTGAAAAAACTGATCAGTGTACCTGGAGTGTTCTGTGATCAAAAATATTGTGTGTGTGTGTGTGTGTGTGTGTGTGTGTGTGTGTGTGTAATATACACGTTTCCCTTTTCATTCATTATATGGC